CATCTTTGTATGTGGTGCTGAGGATGGAACCCGGGCTGCACGCATGCCAGGCAAGCGCGCCACCGCTTGAGCCACATCCCCAGCCCCAAATTAAGGTTTTGACACAGGGAGAGTATCCTGTTTTATCTAGTTAGACCTTAAATGCAATCACATATTCCTTTATAAATGGGAGGCAAAGAGAAATTTGTCACAGACAATAACTTCAATAATGAACAAATAGAAGCAGAGATTAAAAGTAATGCACCACAAATCAGATTTCTGGCAACCACTAGAAGCTCGAAGCAGCAGCAGATTCTTCACTACAGCTTCTGGAGGACACCTTGATTTCACCTCAGTGACTAATTTCTTACTTCTAGCCCCAGAATTGTGAGTGAATAAATTTCCATTGTTTTAAGCCACCAAGTTTGTGGTAATTTGTTAAACAACTACAGGACACTAGTGCATTTATCATACAGTTTCTGGAATAACAACACTGTTGGCATTTCTCTACTTCTTTATGTTTTCATTGCCTAGTCTAGCATTTCCCAAACACAACTTAACCTGACACTTATTAAAAATACAAAACCTGGGTTGGGGTTGTAGCTTGGCAGTAGAGTGCTTGCCTAGCATGTGTAAGGCACAGCGTTCAATTATCAGCACCGCATATAAATAAATAAGTAAAATGAGGGCTGGGGATGTGGCTCAAGCCGTAGGTACCAAATACAGTACCTTTTCCTTTTGATATCTTTTTTATTATAACTTTTATCTATTTAAAATATCCCCGGTGTTAGACACTTAACACTATGGTCCCAGATTCTATTTTTTAAGGTATAATTTAAATGCAATAAAATGCAGACTTTAATTATATAAATTTGAAGTTTTAATAAACATATATGTTACATACAATTGAAACATCATTCCCAGAAAGTACCCTTATGCTCCTTTTAACAGTTTTATGCTTCTTTTTCATTACTTTTAAATCTTCTGTCACTTGTATACTTTATTTTTTTCTCTTGTGTGCCTTATTAAAGCATGTTATCTATTTGCATATCACTTTAACAGACATTGAATCTACTATTTGTCTTTTTCATTCTTTTACAACTTAGTTCTAGAACTGATCTCAAGAAAGTATACATGTATCACACGTGCTGATATTTTGGGGCAATTCTGCATGATGCTAAATGGTGATAGTGAGATTCTGATGTCTTTCACTTACATTTCATAATAAATTCAAAACACCAGCTAACATGTACATTCTGATATTGCACCTTCCTACAGTCAGTTCCTACTTATTCTTTACACTCTCAAATGATTATTTCCCATTTCCTGAGTATATAGAAAAGTAGACATAAAGGATTATTTTG